CACGTCCTACGCGAAGGAGTCTCTTTTTCTTTAAACGACATCGGACATTTAACTCTTTTACTCTCTCTCTCTCTCTCTCTCTCTCTCTCTCTATCTATCTATCTCTTTCTCTTCTCTGATTGTGTACGCATACGTTCGCGCGTGTATAAACGCGTATGCGACACATCGCGCGCATGATGATCTTTTATTTCAAGATATTTTCTTTTTCGTTACATTAACAATAATAATAGTTTTCGATATACATATGTATGGGGTGCCACAAAGCAATTTTTTTGGCCGCGAATCAAGATTTTTGCTCGAAATATTTGGATAGCATTCAGTTTTTACAAAATTTTTTCTTACAAAACGTTCTGATAATTAAACAACGAATCAAAGTTAACTTGAAATATAGCCCATTGGAATTAATAAATGTAAAAAGTCTTGTTAATTGTTTGAATCATTAATTATCGACGAGATATATGGTAAAAGTTATCAAAATTTAGAGCTACAAATGAACTACACGCGATGAATTTCTTCATTCTTAAACATATTAGACTTCGTTATTAGCCGATTTGAATTTAGTCTTTTATTCGGAAAAATTGTTACATAATATTTTTTTCCACGTACAACGTTTTTACCGATACAAGTCCGTGTTCAAATTTCATATTCAAAGTTAGCGATGGATGCAACCTACATGTAAAAAATTAAACTCTGAATACTACTTCTTCTCTCTATTTAACAATATGTGATTTGCATGCGGATCATGATATCGGCAAAAGGAAGCGCGATATAGCTTCCAGGCATCCTGTATATCTTGGAATTGGAGCAATATCATCGTGACGCGAAAAGAGCAGGTCAAACGTTACATAACCGAGTATGTAACGATGGTCCTTCGATTCCCGAGTCACGTAAGAATATTGGAAAGTTGTTCCATCTTCAAAATATCGATATGTATATACGACCCTCTCTCTCTCTCTCTCTCTCTTTCTCTTTCTCTCTCTCTCTCACACTCTTTCTTCTACCTTAGAAAATTTCCGTTCTCGTTTCTGTTTTTCCGTTTTCCGTTTCCGTTTCGTTAAATCGTTCTCGGCGCTCCCGGGCACTCGGTACGCGCCTTTGTAATACGTGTCTTTGTGTGTGTCGACAGCTCTGGAATCGACAATAATCCGACGGTCTTTTACCACTTAATGCCCGGTTCCACGGCGCAGACCAACAAGTTTCATACGTTTTACCTTCAGCAACGCGCCGAACAGTCGGTGACTTGGGCTGACATTAAAGTCAACCACCCGCTGGACTACGAGAGCATAAAAGAATATAATCTCACCATACGAGTAGAGGTATGACTTGTTAAGTCTGTACAAACTTTCGCGATATACTTTTCAAATAAATCTTTTATGTGGAAGAAAATAGAAATATTCCAAAGTCGTTGAGTAATCTATCTTTCCCAATTGTGAAATTATTTCTGGACATTAGTAATAAAATTTTACTGTAATAGTTTGCTGTAAAAAACATAAAATTTCAACTTTTATGCATTCAATATTAAAGATAAATAAAACGCATAGAACTTACAAAAGTTTGTTTAACTTTAAATGTAGAGTATAAATCGACATTTTTGTAAGCAAACAAATAAATGTTTTTATTTTTATATTGTTCAATCAATTGAATGTGCATCTGTATAAATGCATTTGTATTTATTTTCGGGCAAAAATAAAAATTGTGAGGAAAAGTACGTAATATTCCAATTTTTGTAACCGCTATTGATTTTACTTGTTTAGAATAATGGAGCCCAACAGCTGGCTTCCGAGGCAACGGTATACATCATGCTGGAGGATGTTAACGACGAGATACCGTTGTTCACCGAACGCGAACAGGAAACCGTACTTGAGGGTGAACCGGTCGGCAGCAAAGTCACCCAGGTGAACGCTATCGACAAAGACGGGACGTTCCCCAATAATCAGGTAAATTCATGTCGAGCGTTATTGCACAATGAAACGAATTAATTGCGGTACTAGCGATTATCTGTGAAACAACGTGCGCAAAAGTATTAGAGTGCCCTGAATTAGATTTACATTGTCTTTGTCGTCGTCCTTCAATCGCAAGAATATACATATTCATATATATAACAAAATGTAAAAAAAAAAAAAATTGATAAAATAAGTATAACAATTACATTCAATCATTTAGAATGTAAAATCAAAGTAAAATACGGTCAAGGAAAAATGCTGGAAAAGCTAATTCAGTTATAATGAAAGATGGCCAATGGCGATCACGAGAATACGCGTCGCATAGTGGTCTTCTCATTTCTCTATCGTGAAGATATCCGATTTCGATTGGATCAATTGCAGAAGTATTGCATCGGAGCCGGCACAAAAGAACCAAAGAACATATTCGTATCGCGTTATAGATAGGGCACTTGGTCGGGACTTAAGGGAGCTCAGTCGTCGAAGTCCTGATTGAGAAGAGACGGGGAACGGCCGGGAATTGGGGAATAAGGGTTGATATACCGAACTGCTTTGGACGTGTACCTATAACTTAGACTGTCGCGTCGAAACTTTAATGATTTCATGCGCGGTAGAACTGCATCGCCCGCTGTTGGGGACGCTGGGATATAAACTCCCGAGTAATGGAGTAACGCAATTCCGACGATCGCGTTTGAGCGGCGTTGAATTTATCACGTATGATCGCATTAACGGATACGCCAACTCCGTCGGATACCGCGTCCGATGTTTAATCGCATGATTATCATTCGTTTTGTGCTGAAACCGGTTGCTATGCTACGGAGCGTACTTTGTAATGCCGATGCAACCACGATTACGAACGCAAGCGCGAATCGCGTTGAATATTAAGATATAAGCCGCTGGCTTCTAGAGAACGCAAACCGGAGATATGAAACCGTAGACGGTTATCGAGCCTGGGGTCAAATAGATTAGTTTTTTCTCTCGATTGAAAAGTTTAATAGCCAGTGGGACTTTCCGTCGTCATTTCCATTTTCATGAAAAACTTTTTTTAATTTTCTTAAACATTTCGCGTTTTTTAAATTTAATTTCATTTTTATTATACTATTTATTCGTGCAAAATGTTCATTACAAAACAAAACTTTGATCCCTTCTAAGAGAAGCGAAAAAATGAAATATCGCCACGGAAAAAAAAACCAGCGCACTTCCCTGCTGCGGGGCAAATTCGTCTTTTCTTCGTTAAACAAAAATGAGACTGTTCTGAGCGAGCAGTTTCGTGAAAATGGCGCGCAATACAGCTGGAAAAAACCCTCACCTCCGTAGCAAGCAGAAGCGAGGCAGTCGTGAAATATCGCGGAATTTCCGTTGGAAATTTGCCGATTAAGTGCCATGAGATACGTGCGACTGTAAATTTCGCCGGTTACAAGAGAGTGCGCGAAGGACTTCGCGCGCAAAGGATCTGTCAAATATGCACATTCCATTTGCACGTGCGACGCGCGGATGTAGGATGGGTTTAGCAGGACGGAAATGCGCGCTACGCCGGCACAAAAGGAGATGACGAAAGTGGACGACCGATCCGGCATGTAGTCGAGCGTTGTAATCGCGTTGCTGCAAACTCGATATCGTCTCCTCTCCGTTCGTCCGTCCGTTCTTTCTTGCATGCGCGCCGTTATTGGCAATTTTTGAAGCAAAAAAAGAACATTTTGCAAAAATAAAGAACGAAAATCGCAAGAATTAGAAATGCAAATAAATAAACAATTTTTATCGATTGTGGCGGAAGTTCGTAGATATATTTCGACGAATATAAAAATTAATAATTAATAATTTAAATATCAATTTCGTAATGTCAACGTTAAAAATTTATATGCATTCCACAAAAGTGTGCCCTACAATGTACTTTGGTTTTTGCTGAATAAGCGACGTAACGAGAGCATTTGTTAATGTCGGCTTAATCGAGTTTTTTCTTTGTTTACGTTGCTTTTCTTAATTAAAGGGTAACAAAGAAGCACGGAGCAGCTCCGGAGAAAATTAGTCTATCATTACATGTCCGCGCTACTCGGGCTAACATTATTCGTCGTTTCATCAAGGTAAAATTGCAGGGCGCAAAGTGTCGGGCGTGCTCAGGGACCAGTCGGAGTAAAATTTCTGCGAAATTCATTCAAATGTCTTGCGTCGCGATAACCACTCCGAAGTTTCGCACTCTCGGCGCCATCACACGTTCCGCGTCGCGGCATTTTTATGTGTTTCGCGTGCTTTATGCATGCATGCACTTTAATATAAAACAGGGAGCTTCTACGAATAAAGGTAAAACAAGTCGGATTGCAAAGGAGGTCATACGTTCGCAATGCGGCACGCGAGGGGGGAGGGAGAGGGCGAAAGCTTATTCCGACTAATTCAAAATATGTCTTAGAGATATTAAAGTACGGTTCGAGATAAGCTAGAAATATAGTTGAAAAATTTCTGCATAATATTACTAAGATTTAAGAAATTTTTATAAATATCCCACATATTAAAAAAGAATGAATTCCAGACGAATCAAAGAGTCTTGTTAATGTGCGATGTTCTATTACGCCGCAAACAAACCCACAGTGTCTTTCCGCTAATGGCGATGTCCAGCGGAGTTATGGCATTCTTTATTAGTTACTTGTGCATGCGAGACACCGCGAACAGAGTCAATAAATTCTGCGTTGTTTATCTAGGTCACGTATTACGTGGTAGATAGCGACAGGAACGAGGGCAAGGATTACTTCGAGATCAACAGGGAGACCGGTGAGATCTTCACAAAAGTAATGTTCGATCGTGAGAAGCAGGGCGCTTACGCTCTCGAGGTGGAGGCCAGAGACGGAGCACCTTCTGCGCGACCTAACGGCAACGGCCAACCTAACTCAGGTAGGTGGTATAGAAAATTTTATTTGAAAATCGTCTGCACGCGCGCGCGCGCCCATACAGTCTGTATTGCTGCCATACACGCGTACCATAAATTCAAGTAAATAATAGATCACAACAGCAATACATTTATATTCGGGTTCATGGACGGCTGAGAGCGTGTCCACCATACGAAATTTGCCGGGCGAACAGCTACTGAAGCAAGAAGCGCCTAACTTGAAATTCGAAATTGTAAACATATTTTGAAGATATTATTATGAAATATTATGCGAAGAATTTATATTAAAAATGATATACATTTCTGATGCAACTCGGTATCACAGCCATTAAATTTTGCGCTGCCATTTTCGCATAAAAAATATTTGGAATTCTTAAAATCCAAAATGATAACCGTCGGCTAAAGAAAATTAATTGTCAAAAGAAGATTGACAGTAATACTTCAATTGTTTTTGAATCTTATATGACTTCACTTTTATAAAATATAACATATGTGGTTTTACACACAACTAAAACCGCTGACAAAAATAGCATACATTTTGTTCCGCGCAAGCGTTTTATAAATCCAAGTAAATAATGGTTTGTGAGAGCAATATTTATATTCGTGCGGAGTGCGTGCAGGCCGTACAAAATCATCGTATAAAATTTGCGGGGAACGCTCGCTTATCGCTTGTAGCCATAATCTGACAGCAAGAAAAATATTTTTCTCATAAATGTACTCGAATATACTCGCGGAATTCTACATATTTTTATAAAGGATGCAATTTATCCTATAAATTATTATATTAGATAAGTGTTCTAGATAAATGCCGCAAGCTCGGTTTTAATAAGTTTGTTAACAGAGATGCGTTTCATCGAATTATTCCATTTTAAACACGTGATATTTCAAATTTTCTCTTATGTCACGCTGAAAATGGTCGATTCGCATATGAGCACGAGTTTTCACACTTTACAAAGGGATTATCGGATCACAATGACAAGTGAATTATCGATGAATTTAATATTATCCGGAAATGTGAGTGGCGCCCTCAGGGAAATTTCCGAAGGCGCTTTCGGCAAGTAGAATTCTTTAGAATTTTTTCACACAGCATGTGATTTGCATTATCGGATTTTATAGTGTGAACTTTCGCGCATTAACGTGATTACGATGTCGTCTTCCGTGTCCCGAGCGAGCGCGCATCTTGCATTAGTTGATTGCACGCCTGTATACTTGTTCGCAACTTCGAGGAACTGATTGGAAATCTTAAACTAGTTTCACGCGTTTTTACGTAGGAAAGTCATGAATGATAATCACCGATATTGTGCGTAAGAAACCGCAAAGTCACTTGTTAGTTAATTTACGTATGATAAAAATTTTTATCGCGTAACAATATTAATTACATTTGTTTAATTTAATTAATATCGAGGTGCCAATAAACAATTTTGAACACTCGTTAAATTTCAATTAACTGATGAAATAAATGATAAACCAGGAATTTTAAGGAATTTCTGAAGCAAATCGCAAATTATTTAAAATAAATCCACACACGATCAGAATATTGTAAAATTAGCTACATATATATGTGCGAAATCCAATTGCTAGTTTAATTGCGCCAAGCGTTAATCCCCAACTGTTTATGGCCCGTTGCAAGTCGTATCGTTAATTTCCGCTTTTCTCGGTACCACACTTCTTCGTTAGTTGAGAAACTTCATTTAACGGCCCTGCATACGAAATTCATTGTCCGAAGACAAACACAATATCGCTTCTATTATTCAATCTAATTAGAGCAGATCCAATATTAGGATGATTCATCTTTCCTACATTTAAGAAGTTCAATGCAAAAGGGGAATATGAAGCTCTTTTTCTTTAAATAGTAAAAAAAAAAGGAGAAGAGCAATGAGAATGTTTAACATTTAGAGAGACGTTAAAAGCGCAAATCGAAATTGATCAAGTTAAATTAATAAAGATGATTGCTTTCATTTTTCGATATCCTTTTCGATAAGTGTTCAAAAATTCATAAAGATATAGTAGGGTTTATTTTTTTCATCCTTTGACATTTTTTTTTTCACGGATGCTTTTCACACTGGAGTGGTGCGTTGTCACTATGTATGAAATTTTAAATCTCGAATCCCCAGTTTATCGATCGATATTTCATGTATTCGTATATACTCATACTCCGTTTCTGCATACCGACTCGTATTAAATACGTATGTGGCTAATTAACGTGGTTCTAGCCGAGCTTTTCCGAACACAATATGCACTTTCGTTAATTAAAAGCTAGATCGAAGAACCTCGAGCGGGTTGTAATTAGTTCTTAACATCGTTACCTTCACCGTTGCGCGCCGCGCATTGGATCGTATTAACGTTGCATTATAATGCACACACCCTGCAGCGTGCTGTTGTTAAGTGAGATTGATTCACGCTTGATATTTCGATCCTTTTCACGCTATTAGTCACCGGTGAAATTGCATTGAACAAGATATACGACTGTCTGAAATATGCACGAGATGAGACGCTTCTTACGAGCGCAGTTCTCCTACGAGAATTTTTACAGCTACGTCGAAACGACGTAACTTTTTATTTTACGGACATCGGCTCAGGTTTCCAAATTATCGAAAGACGAGCCACTGCTCCCTCTTTTATTTCTTTCAGTTTTTGAAAGCTTAGCTTATCGGCTTTACAACATTCACTATCATGAATATCTTTCTCCTGTCTGAGGCTATTATATTTTTAGTAAAAGCCACATAAAAAATTACTTTTATAATTAATTAATATTTGTAAAGCTCAAAAAATTGAAATATTTAAATATATTTCAATATTATAGTCAAATATTAAACAAATTTGCTCGCTAACTGTGTAAAAATTTATAAATTTTGAAAGCACATTTTAATAAACGACTTATTAAAAACGTATTTCGTAAAAGCAATTTTATTTGCATTTTAAAATATTATTAATTGCAAGGGAAATTTAGCTCGTTTTATCAAATTCAGCAATACTTGTAAATTCGAAAATGCGTTGCTTTCGAAATAAATATTTATGTGCAATGTTTGATATTCACGAAAATGATATGAAAATAATCGTAATATTGACTTTGTAAAATTATATTGGTTTGTGTAAAGCTGATTTGTTTTAAAACGCAAAAAACATGTTTTGATGTAATTACAAGCGCGGAAATTTCATTACAAATTTACGCTGCAATGTGAAAATTACGCGAATGTTTAAAAAATCGGATCGAGAATCAAGTTCTCGCTGAAAACGTAGTTCGATTTGCCTCACATCTCTTTTTAAGATTTTTACGAGCATCCGTTGGAAAGTTGTGAACTTATTGGCTTTTCCGCCGCCAAGTCGAAGTATGTACGTAAGTCGAGATCTCTGCTCCACAACGCAATTCCGTTTCTAAATTCATGATTGATTCGATGCGGTGTGCCGCTCCCCGGTCGCAGCATCGATTCCTTTTACAATCGTGCAACCGCAATGGACGATTTTGTATAGCGACGTGAAGCAGATTGTGTTTCTTAAACAAAACTTACTATCTCTACTTTTAGAATTTTATCTGCGGTTATCGAAAAATACTAACATAAGTGCAGAAGTTTAACAAAGCATCGAAAAGATTATAAAACCGTGTCAATCATTTGCGAATTAGAAAATCGCAGTTTTTACTAATTTTATAATAAACTTAACGTTTAAAAAATGTTTTCTTCTTAAAAAATTAATAACCTGACAAATAAATTATTACCAATTTTTATTTGTAAATTAAAACAATCACGAAATTTTATTTTTTATATTAAAATATTACTACAGCTTGCGAAAAATACTAGGAGAATAATGTATTTTTGTATCATATTATTTTTTTGTCTTATAACCTTTAGCTGTATAAAATCCGCTACGCGGCAGGGCAAAATTTTTCTGCACGGAAATCCGGCTATCGTCGGAGAGTTTTATCCTTTTCGATGACCTGTATTTCGACTATCCATTTCGAGAGAAAAGCGTTGTCACCTAGATGCGTTGGATATCGTAAACATAGCATGTAAGCCTTTTCTTCCCGATAGTACCACATGCTACATGCAATGTATTTTCCACGGTACAAATATGAAACGACCCGGTGCAACGTGGAGACTCGAAAATACTCAAGTAATGTTTTTTACACTTGACGTAATAGAAATGTCATATTGTGTAGAAAGGAGCAAAAGAAGTTTCTGGAGTTTCTGCAGATAGTTCTTGCAGTTTTCATCGACTTTTCTCGCAGACAGACACCATTATAAAATGTCACAATAAAAAAATTAGAAATTAATATGTAGTATATTATTTCTGTTTTTCATGCAAAACTTGAAGTTCTTTCTTCACTTCTGTTTTTCCGTTAAAGCTAAGATAATTGGTTAATGCTGCGCGTTCAAATAGTCAAAGATTAATATGGAGGAACGTAGAGGAGCCGCATTAGCGTCGATTTAAGTGTGGCAGAGTGCACTCGTAAACGAAAGAACGTAATAGGGAGCGTTAACTCGCAATTATGCAAAACTGCATTACGCCGTCGGATGTTAAAACGGAATGGACAGCCGTGAATTTCCAAGCACGACTCTTGGCGCAAGTATAGTTCGACTTTAAACTAACGGATTATATTAGTCTAACCTTTCCGCGCGTACAAAAAGCTACACGAGAAACATTAACATAAAATCCGTTAAACGGCAAAAAAATGCATTTTATGCACGTAGCGTTCGAGAATGTAATATTCCGGTAACTTTAAAATTCATAAGGATTAAAGCACCCCACGTGATTTCTTTAGACGTCAATATTCCCGATCTTGTGATAAATTTTCGATTTAAAATCTTGCTACATTATTAATATATTTTTAAAAAATAAGAATTTTTAATTTAAATTCTCTAGAAAAATTATTTTTTATCGATTTTTACTGAAAGATCTAATATTTTGAGTTACAATTTGCTCGGCCCAAGCTACATAACATTATTAAGCAAATAACAAGTTTAACGCGATATCATGCATTTTCTCTTCGTAAATGGCATTGTGGAAG